TCAAGAACTCCGAGGCAAACAGAAGGGGCTCCAGACTATATATGACAGCAAGGGCGAATTGTTGATTTGTAGATCTGGAGGATCGATTCCGGGGAGAAAAATTTCCTGGTGCGGCACAGGGAGCCAACTGACTCAATGTATTTGTTCCATCTCAGGTCAGCAGTCAACGTGATGGTAATTCATTGAGTCTAGAAGAATCCTATTCAGAATGCACTGGAAAGCAGTTTCCTCAAATACGAGACTCATTAGCAGTGCGCATGCATTACCGAAAATCGAACCCGTTCCGTTACTATACAACGCAAGCGGTCATACTACTGGACAAACGGTATAACGCAAGCGCTGGCATCGTAGTGGTCCGGTTTCGATTTTCGGTAGTGGATGTGCACTGCTGATGAGTCCGAAAGAGAATGAAATTGACGTCCAGTGTTTTCTGAATTCTGTTGATGTTTCTTCTCGACTCGATGAATTACTATAAATGATTATTCACCCCCCCCCCGCCAAAAAAAAAAAATAATCTATCATCTGGTGGGTAACACCGTCATACTCCTTCTTCTCTTTTTTGTTTATCTTCTTCTCTGTGTCGCATCCTTTCAGAACCTGGGCGATCATAACTTTCTAAAACTTCCTAATCCCTTGAGGCTCTTAGTACTCTTTCTCCCCTAAGGCTCTCACCCCAGTTCCGCCAGCCATTCACGCAAACTTCAGTCAGTTAAGTGGTTCGGTGCCTTCCCCTATCTCTTCTTCTCTCAATATGACCTGTGAGGGTTGAGCTTTCCAAGCCCCACATTATTATTTTTATATTATTATTGACAAGTATTTTTTCATCTTATGTCTTTAAGATGATGCTGCATATGCATAATGCATATCTATATTACAAATCTCAAATGTCAATGTTTGATGTCTAATTAAGTAATGTAGATGGAAAAGCACAAACCTTCAGAGAGATTTGAAGTTCATTTTGTTTTCTGCTTTTCTGTGACAGTGACATATTCTTATAAAGGATTTACCGGTGGGTGTCACTGAAATATGTCATAGAGCGACAAAAATTGCAACATAAATAGGATGAGTGAAATACAAATTAAAAATTAACAATAATTGACAATATTTCCTCTAAGAAGTTTGAAAACTATTACATCTAATACTACTAGTATTATTATTTACTACACAAAATATCTTCAGATGCTGGATAATAAAACGTGTTTCATTAAGACAAATCAAAATGAACAGTAAATAAATCAGTGTTATTGGTGAAAACTTATTTATTTCTCTATTGGATCATGCTATTTAAGTCATGGCAATTATGTGTGAAAAATAATATTGCCCAAATGTCTGCCAAGCTTCGGTAGGACACCTCCACTCGATGGTTAAATTTTTTTATGACGTCTCTGCATAGTTGCACCTCGATTTCACCAATATGCCTTATTATCTCATCCTTCAGCTGTTGATTTGTTGTTGTCTTGTTGGAAGAGATCTGATTTTTGAGATGATCCCGAAGGAAGAAATCAAAAGACGTCAAGTCGCACGATCGCGATTGACTTCGCTGTTTCGAAAGATGATGCGATTTGGGGACTTCTCATGCAATAAAGCCATTGTTGCATTGGCTATGTTATAGGCTTCGATAACTTTAACACGTTGTTTGCTTGTGAATCTTTCCATGGTTGAAATTGCCAAAAACCTAAGTTATTAAATCTGAAAGAAAAAGAAAAAAATCATTAAACTCTTAAACTTAATTCACATTTAAAATCGACCCAAGTTATTGGTACACCCTTTATATACATTCTCATGTACATGTCCGGATTCAGTCTAATGTGGTTAAAGTAACTTTAAAATTGGTGTCTAAATCAACAAATAGTGGAATTCTCCTTTTAGTTGTTAGTGAGCCAATATCTCCAGATATTTGTTCCGCATTTGTACTTTGTATGAATCAAACAAAGGAATTTCCGTTAGAAGCAAAGAAAAAATCTGTACTGCTCTGTACTATTTAAGCCATGGACTTTGTCTGCAAGTTTGAAAATGGGGACAAAAAGGACAAATAAAAATCAAAAAGAGAAAAGGGATATTTCTGGGACATATTATGAGGAAGGAGAGCTTTGAAAATTTGGAACACTAACTAGACATACTGAGGGAAGGAGTGTCAGAGAGAAACATTGTCTAACCTACGTAATGGGTCTGTACGAATGACTGACAGAGCGGGTACACAGAGGGAGAGTAAAGCATCAAACATTTCTTAGATAACCAGTATAGTTCGCATCCACAAGGGACATGACAAAAAATAAAAATAAGACCGGTTCGTCACTTGTCCAGTTTATAAATCAAATGTGATATATTTTTTCTTATTAGCATTATACATAAAAATAAATTAACCACGATCTAACGTACATTTTGCTACGTACATATCTCGTTGAAGCACCGGTTCTCGTTTGATCACCGAAATTAAGCAACGTCCAATCTGGTCATTACCTAGGTGAGTGACCGATTGGGAATAGCAGGTGCCGTAAGCCTGTACCTCTAGGTGTTGTAATGGGTAACTGGAGAAATCGGAGAGCCGGGTTCGAATTTCAGTTAGGTTCGTCACATTCATTTTTGCGCAAAAGCATGTAAAAATATTGCACGAAAGAAGCAAAATAAACCCCCACTTATTTTTTTTTTTTTTTATTGGAGAAATTTTTTTTTAAAATCATTAGGGATTCCTACTCTTATTTTGACGTAGTCTTATTATCCAAAAATTTCCACTTGCTAATTGTGCAGCAGCTTAACAGGAACCGACTATAACAACTAATTACTTAGAAAAACAAACAAGTGTCACGTTCCATAAACATTAATGACATATCTTTGAAGCAAACGTGAGAAAAGCGTTCATCTACACAAGACGAATGCAGCTTTAAATTGAAACTTTGAGATTCTAGAAATCTACTAAGAGATAAATGAACTGAAAAGAGACATGATCGCTCAAGCGTATCACATCCACCCTTCCAACAGCCATTCAGTCAGAGCAGTATGGTAATGGCCACCCCCCTAGATCTGTGGGAAGCCCCTCGTTAAAAAGGGGTCTTTCACGGGCTGATAAGAATAACATTTACTTTTTATTACCTACTGCAGTGTTTAGTGCTCTAAAGTCACAATAACCATGCAGGTAAGTTTATTTCTCACTCGATGTTTGTTTTGTGCTACCATTTTCTGCAGATGTCCTCGTCAAATATGCATCTATTATATAACATTTTTCTAATTTGTGAATATTTTTCTTATCACGGTAACATCGCCAACAAAATTATTATTGTTTTGATGACCTTTCGTCTTTGGTATCATGAATTTAAACGCAATACTAAATTGGCAGCTAGGTCTCAACATTTCACTGTTAAAGTTACTTGATGTAACCATAAGATCGAAGAAAACAGTTCTCTCGCACTTCTCACCTGTGGTATTCTCTTCGGATTTCTTGCTTTCCTGTCAAATATGATCATCAGAATCTTAAATGCAACGTCAATCGTCATCTTGTTTTTTAACCCTGTTCTTTTATTGTCCTTCCTTCTCAATAACATCTTCTCAGTTTCTTTCCCTCTTAATAATCTTTTGTGTCTTGGTGGCTTTATCGCCTTTCTTAGGGTGAATTGATTAGGAAAAGAATTTTATTGTTTTTTTTTTTTTTTTTTTGCTTATCTCGTGAGATTTTCTTTATCATCTGGACAACTTTGGATAGCCTTGCTGCTGAAAAAATATATAAGAGAAAGCGAGCACATAGAGACAAAATGATCTCTTCAAATAAAATGATCCCGAAGCCAAGAGAAATAGCAGTAAAGCAACACATGAATCACACGTCATTATCTGACAGGCAGAAACGGAAGTGAATGGCTTAAACGAGAGGCATGATGGCTGCAAGTCAGGACTTGTCGGGTGAGAGATATATAAGCCGGCTTTAAGAGTAAAAATACGTTTACATTGCAGTCATCAAATAAATGAGATGGATAGTAATGTACGGAGAATTAGTAGTTGATATGATAAAGACATTCCCATCTCAAACCATCTCACAAACAAAATAACCAGGTGTGCTGGCTGCCTCATAATCGGCTAATATTTAACAAGCTAGCCTGATTAACCCTTAATACTGAGAGTAGCATCCCAAAGTGCCAGCTACAAATTGGAGTAGTGAAAATCAGATAAGTACAAAAAAATTAACTATTAATGAAGTGTTTAAACAGACTATGGAAAATGTGACAGCGAAACCCGAAAATGTAAATAGAGAACGATGCTTTTCAAAAGCTAAACAAAGTATTAAGAAACAGGAAATTTTCGTTAGAAACAAAGAAAAGAGTGCTGAACAATATAATAATATGAATTATCCTATATGACTATAAATGCCGGACAATTTACTCACAGATCCAGGGGTACCTTGGGGAAACAGAGATGTGGTTCTACATAAGGAGGCTGAGAATATAATGGATGGAACATGTGAGCAAGAAGGAAATTTTAAGGAAAATAGAAATAAAAAAGACACTTGTAATTAGAATCAGAAAGATAGAATTGAAATCTCTGGGATGCATACTGAAGAAGAAGGTGTAGAACAATGCAATACCCACAAGACATAGTGTTACAGGGAGACAACGCAATAACTTACCTTACGCGTTTGTTTAAAAGGACAACAGAGGGAAGGGAGGATAGTAAAAAAAGTAAATATTGCTCAGAGCTACAAAAGACAGGAAGTTGTGGAGAGACATAAACACCACATCAAAAGAGACACTACATAAAAGAAGAGAGCTCGTTTCTTAATAAGTACCTGTGGCCTTGTACCAAACTGAGCTATGTTTAGTAAATATCTGCTCGACAAATAACTGGAAGAGGAAATAGAAAACCTGGATTTTCCAAGAGCAAGACTTGGCATCGTATTACGTGTTTAAATATAATGCAATATTCATTTTCTTAAGAGGGATTATCGCATTTAATTAAAACAGTCTTAGATTTCTGAGAGAAAGAGAGGGGAGAGAGAAAAAGAACAAATGAAATTCTTGTCTTTTTGAAGATTGTAACATATTTTCGAAAAAAATATCTAATTCAAACTCGATGGTTTTCATTAAATTACAAGTATTATTCTATTGAACATGAGACTTCGTCCTGTGACAATCATCGACGACTTCCAATCTGCTTCTTCTACCCAATTCCACTCATAAAGCCTGTTATGGTTTTAGACACTTTCTAATGGCACTATGTGCCAATATTACCAAGAAGTCAGATCGAGCATAGTGAGGTTCAAAGCATAGTTGGAACGCTAACGTATCAATATATGCGCTAAGTTCTCATGCAGTTAATCCCGCCGACGGTCGAACTACACTTTGAAAATAAAGTCTTATTTGTGTTTGGTATTTGTTTGCATTTTATCGTTGATACTCATAGGACAGACTGAAGGCAAGAGGGACAGATGAAAAGAACTTCATAACCAACCTAGCGAGCTTGATTAAATGGATGGTGGGACAAGCTTTAGGAGAGATAACAAAAAGACAAAATTTACTTACAAAGTCTGTCTATATTTAAGTTATCCCCTGTGCCATGTGTCCTTGAGGACACATGGCACAGTGGATAAAGGCGTTGGTTAGATCCAGTGACAGGACCCAAAGAGTGTGAGTTCAATACCGGGTTAAGGCAGTGGAGAACTTTCAGAGGGAAATTAGCAGGAGATAACTCATAACTGACATCCATCAAACATGGCAGATGGAACTAGAACAGTCTACACCCGTGAGAGAAAGAAAGGGTTCAGTTCGAAATTCCAACCACCTGAAGAAGGCCGGAGCGTACAACGGCCGAAACGTTGTGATAAATATGGCGACAAAGATGAGGACAGTAGTCCGAATAATGTAAATAATGTTACTTACAAAGCGTAATAAAGAGAGGAAATTGTGGAGAGCCGTGATTGCCAACGTCATGAAGAGACACGGCACATAGAAGAAGAATAGGAATTCAAGTCTTATAGTCTTACCTTTTTTTTAGCCGATTGCGATTATGAAAGGACAGGTTTTTTTATAATCAGTTTCACCTCATGCAAGGCAGTAAAGCCACTAAGACACAAGGGGTTACAGGGTGTGGAAGAATTAAGAACAGAAACATTAATAATGAGCAGAACAAGAAAAGAGTAATCAGAAGAACAGCAGATAGCGATTGACATTGCATTTACATTTTTACATATTAAAGTTGGCTGGAAATCATGAAGCTAGATAGTTACAAACAAAATGGCGTTACTCTTGCGCAACACAAGAGAGAAGTGTGAAAAAAGAAACAGTTCTGCATAGTATTTACGGCTACATCGAGCCAGCTCAACTGTAAATTGATGAGATCTCGATGCCAGTCTAGTATTGCGTTTAAATTAAGAATATCTAAGTACCATAGCGAAAAGATCATTTGACAAATAACCATGAAAGTATTTATAGAAAAGACACAGAGACGCAACCTTAGGACAGTGGGGATGTGACTTAAGCCGGGCCGCCAGATCAGGACCGATAATATTAATTGCTGATTCTTCTTTGGATCTTATCAAAGAGCTCAAAGTAAATAGCATGTGCACCAGACCATATAAGACAGCAGTTAACAAAACAAAACAAAAAAAACAAAAAAAACTAGAAATTCTTGCTTTATATCAATGTCCGTTTTTTTCTATCTTACCTTAATTTTACGACCGTTACGAAAAGTTACCTTTGCATGACGGTCATAAAAACAAGAAGATTTTTGATTGGCTCAAACTATTTATTCAAGATGAAGTTGAAATGTTGAAAAGACTACAGTCTGCGTGGTTGCGCGTCGGCTGTTTGCCACATATGATATTGGAAAACAGCAGTTGTTGAAGAAACAAATCGAAACATTTCCTTGAATTGCTGTCTAGGTTTAGATTTATTTTGAGGCATATTAACACCTCAATGGGTTATTTAATGCCGACAACATTTTTAGAATAGATTCGGTTGTTTGTTTAACGGCATATCAACTCCTCAAAGGATCATTTAATGTGGTAGTTTAATTTTCTTGTGAGCATTAGTAAATTTTTTTTTGCAAAAAATGTATTGCTGGTAATTTTTTTTTCAAAAATTTACGGGGTCTAACTATTTGCCCATAGCTGGGACCCTAACAGGTGCTACCACCCCGAGTCAGGGTGGACCTGGGAACAAGAGCAATTAAGAAGTGGTTCCACGCTCCTCAAAACATTCCGATTAGAGACCTTGCTGCTGGGTGTAGTTTATCGACATACCCAGGATGGGAATTGCTGTCTAAGTAATGCTTAAAAGATATGGTAGGTGTATACTTTCCCCAAAATACACTTGAGATAGGTATGAATCCACAACTTCTCCACCTCTATCTATGCGCTTAATAGTAGGCATTTTATCTGAAAATGTTTATTATTTCCAAAATAGCTGTTAATAAGCCGTAAAACAAACACACGAACAAACACCCACGACTCTTCTTCTCCCCACAGCTATGGGTTAAATATTAGGACATGTATTACTAAATCATTATTATCTTCAAAAA